CCAGCTTTTTGCCTGCCATGTTCCTTCCTTGTGACAGATCGGTGACGTGGACTCTTTCTTCACCGGGTGAGAGTTGTGAGCGTATTGTCACATCTAGTTGAAGGTACCAGTGTTATGCTCTTGACAGACTCTCGCGTAGCTCTCTTCTTCAACACACTACATGAAGCAGTAGAATCAACGAAAAAAGGGTGTGGGTAATCATCCTCCACTTCGTCAGTACGAGCCCCCAACGCAGCTCGCACCTAGTCTCTCGTGAGACCTCCGTTCGTACATCTCCGCCGTTGTATTGGCCCGGGGATCGGGTATTCTATTGGGGGGTTATGTGTTCGCGAAAACAAGAATCGGGGGCTTACCGTATGTTGCGTATGCGCATCGGAGCGCGTTGGGATGCGCCGTTCGATCGTCAGCAAGAGCCCCAACACGCTCTCGCCTAGGTCTCGAGACCTTCGTGTGGTACCGTCACTCACGTCCGTCTCGCGGTTATTGAACGTCCTCGCCCAGTTGGGTGCTCAAGGTCCAGCCCAAGGAACGTGGTTCCAAGAACTCTTGCGCCAGATGAGCGGCAAGCGCACGTTTCTTCCGTTCGGTCCGTGGCTACCCATAACACCCGCACGAGGAGCCCGCTGTCACAGATGTCGACAAGAACCCGTCATACAGCGTAGCGGGCCCTTTGTACACATGGTATGACCATCAGGTCTGGGGGCAGCATGATGGGCCTCGTAGGATGGCTGGCTTGCACCATAAACGGCGGGTTCCATCCATGTGAGCGAAGGTTTCGGAACAAAAGAGGTACTCAGGGGTACCGAAGAGAAGTGGGAAGGTGGGCGGAGGGGAGGAAAGGGAGGACAGTCAGGAGGGATAGTCTTGTTCTTATTGCAGCCTGTCGGACCCCGGCGGCCGTATTGGCTCATGCCCCACCACGTCCGTCAGGTATTTTGATCACGTTATTTACTTGCACCGCGAAGGGTGCCTAGACGCACAGACGTACTGAAATTCCTTCCTCTACTTGGCGTGCTCTACGTTCCTTGAACCACTGACACCGAGATCGTACCTTATCCCCCTTACTGAATACCCGCCATGGCTCCCAGCCACCATCAATCGATCAAGTCCAACAAGCGCCGCAGATCTCACTCGCCAAGTACCGACGACAAGAAGAAACAGAAGCAGACGCAGAAGCGGACGGCGGAAACCACATCGACAAGGCGACATGACGCTCGCAAGGTTGCAGAAAACGCCCCGGAAAAACACGTCGCCTCCAGGACCAAGTCAAGGGCGGCAAGGCGCGCGGCAGCGAGGGATAGGCACACTCGTAGTAACGCTCGCTCCGGCAAAGCGTTGGCTGCCCCTCCAGTAACTACACTGTATGCGACCGCCATAGATCTTCCCGATGAAGTGATTTTGATGATATTTGACTATGTAAGTAGTCCTTGGCATTCGCTCAAACTCAGTCGTAACGTGACTGGCGCTCCAGCAGAGTGTTGAAGCTAACTTGGGTAGTGCGGAAAGAAGAGCCAGTTGCAACTGTCGATGACCTGCAAGGCAATGCACCGAGTTGGAACGGAGGCACGATTCAGGGATATCGACATCGTGGTCGGCCGGATAACGTCCAAGATGACCCCCGCTCAATTCTCGATTGTTCTCGGAAACTTGCGTTTCACTCGGCATCTTCGGATCACTGTACTGGATACCGATCGCGGAACAAGCCTCTTCAAGCGTCTTCTCACCCGTCTAGAGAAGCTCAGCCTGGTGTCGCTACGATTCGTGGGTTCTCTCAATTACAAGTCGTACATCGGACTATACAGCCTTCTCACCAGCAAGGAGCGTGGCAAGATACTCAGATCTAGACTGTGCAGCCTTGATCTTCCAATGCGACCGCTTCGCGAGACTTGCCGACCTGGCCATATCAACTCGGGGCCTTTCAAAGATGGTGGCATCTTCAACCACTCGGCTATTATCCGGTTCCAATCAGACAAGCAACTAGAAAACCCACTGGCTAGGGAGATCAGCGTCGTAGGAGATCACGATCCCAGCCAGCAATTGGATTCCGGCACCCCGCATAGTGTGGCGCAAAACGTCATCCAGATGATGGGTATCGAGACTCGAAGTATTGATGAGCTGGTGGTCTTTGGCCGGCATACGACAAGGGACTCTCCGACCTTCTATCTTCAGAACCCTTTCGATAACTTTGGTCTTCACTTGCCTTCGAAGCCGTTCGGGCTCAGAGAGCTGTGTCTTGTTGGCCTCGATTTCCGGCAACTACGGCCTGCCATGTTTACTTCATTCAGCATCACGACTCTTCGCACTCTTCGGGTGAAGCAATGCTGCTGGTTGAAGAAACTTTTCGAGCACCTGATGAGCTCAAAGGACCCTCTTCATCTTCATACGGTCAAGATCAATATATACAGCTATGGAGAGTATCTTCAGCCGGATGAAGCTTTCGGATTCGCCAAGTTCTGCAAGTCATTTTCGACATTGAAGAAGCTTGAGATAGAAGCTGGTGCAGATTGGCAAACTGACTTTGACGCACAAATTCTCAGTTCACACAGCGAACTCGAAGAGTGCTTCCTGAGTCTCGGCAAGCCATCACTAGACATGGCGACGATCGAAGTTCTCCAGGAGAACCACAAGAGCCTCAAGGTGTTAGGTTTCAGGTGTCAAGAGATAGCGGGATCTTTGGTGCGGGGTCGTTTATCACAAGAAGGTGAAAAGGAGATTTCTCTTCTGGCTGCTGAATTGCTGCTGTTCAAGAAGTTGGAGGAGTGGCAGTTGATCTGCGATACTCCTCGCTCCAAGGACGTATTGGGTAGTTTCAAGACCATTGCGACGGAGATACACCAGCGCGTCGCGGCTGCCTTTGGCACACGTCCACTCAACATCAACACCATTTCGATCCTCACTCGAGACATCTTCTACACCCTAGATGAGGTTGACGCTGGGAAGATACCTCACATGCATAGGTTTCATTTCTCAAAGGTGGTAGCAGAGGCTGGGGGTATTCAGTGTTGAAGGAAGGGACGAAGACTGGTTACAGCATGCGGCGAAAGCTCCTGAGTACCGTATCATGTTGGCATTTGTGAAGCGGAGATATATCGAGTTCCTCCTGGAAGTGCTGCAGGTAGATGGAACAGCAGGACATACATGGACTTTGAGGATGACAGGTAGTACGTCAGAAATAGCAATCACATATTGCACATACACATCTCAGCGCCTAATTCATGGTTCCACATCAGATCAGGTGGAGCGATCCGAAGCTGTAGGATGTCAAGTCGCACGCGAATACGAACCTGAATCGACGCCCTAGATGGGTGGACTTTGGGCTTGAACGGGAAGTTCGTGTCGTGGGCGCTTTATCTTTGTGTAGTACGTGTGATCTGAGGCACCACCTAATCCGCCACTTAGTATAGGATGTTGCGAACTCGTTGCCACTTCCCCTGCTTGTCGAGCATGTTTTTGGAATGTATGTAGGGTCTGGTTCTTCGACGTGTTCGTAGTCGGCGAGCAGACTAGTCAGACAAGGGCCTGTGTCTGCGCACCCTGCTCCTTGTGACTCTCTTGGCCGGCTCTGTTGTGGGAGACATGGTAGAGAAGAAGAGACTTCAAACTGGTGGTGTGGAAGTGGGAGAGGTCTGTGGGACGCGCATGGAGACGAGAGCACTGGAAAGGATCCATATTGTGACGACTGGGTCTCTTGCGGAAACGATCCGTAGTCCGAAGACAAAATGGCTTTGGCGAATTTTGGGTCTGGAAACGGCGGAGGCATTAGGTCATTTCGACATAATGGCGTGGACGGTGGAACGACAGAGGAGGCGCCTTGAGAAGATGTCTGGATCTGGATCGGGTCGCTCTTGTGTCCAGTCTCCCTCCTCTTCGCGTTGACGTCTCTTCCGGGGTAGGGCGTAGAAGCGCCTTGGGACGAGGTCTGGATGTGGATCGGGTCGCTCCTGTGTCCAGTCTCTCTCCTCTTCGCGTTGACGTCTCTTCTGGGGTAGGGCGTAGACGAGTCTACTCTGGCACGTTTGCAGCTGGTGTCTTCCACCTGCGCGACTTCAGCATCTTCTAATATTCTCTTTTGGCTCATACTGCTGCGCCGATGATGATGTTGTTCTTGATAAAGGACTAGAGTGGATGCCGAAGCAGAGTCTGTAATGCCGTAGTGCTGGTGGTGCTATACTGAGAGTCGTCCGAGGGGTGGGGTGGGGCTGGGGGTGGGGAAGACGCCAGCGCAGGATCTATGACGTCACCCACGCTCAGAACAGCGCTAAACCGCAAGGGTCTCTCTCCACTAACTTGAAGACTCCAACCTACCTACAACTCTCCGTATTCAAGTACCACATATCCCAATGCTTAGGATGTTTGTGCTCGCACCAGATCTTCAGCTCCCCGGCTACTGCAGTCTTTAGTCGTCTAACTGCTGCAGCGCGCAGGCATTGCAGGCATTGCAGGCATCGCAGGCATCGCAAGCATCGCGCTCGTTGCTGTGGCCAATTTGGCTTAACTTGCGCGCTGCAGCACGATGTATTGCATTACAACTATCAGGTAAACAAGAAAGAGGCTCTCTTTGCTAGCTGTCGTCCTTGTGGCAGTTTTCATGGCGTTTAATAGACAACTAACACTGTAAAGGCATCCACTCGGGTCGCCAACGCACCCCCAGCATACCTACCTCACTGTGAAGCGGACTCTGTCTTGCTAAGCTCTACGGAACATGATGCCTCTGGTCTGCAGCCAGACAGACGCTCTCTACCTGGCACCATGTGGGTGAGATGGGATCCCATGCCCAGTACGGCTCGTCGTCCCCGAACGCGACTTCCTCCAACGCACCGCCCCGCAAATTTGCGCCTGCGCAGCTTCCTCGAACAGAAAGACATGGCGCACAATCAATTCCAAAATGCGGGGCCACAGCATATTGAGAGTGTTTTCGCTGCGCTTTCGTTGCCCTTCTGCTCTTCTCTTCCGCGTTGTCTTTGTCCAGTCCTGGCTTTGCCCAGTCCATTCAGCCCAGCATGTGTCACTACCAGAGCCGACGAGAGCGCCTTGAGATTGATGTCATGAATCGGATCTTACGAGAGCCGGACTACCAACCCTTCTTGAGGGAGGAGGTAAACGCCGCCAACAAGTTCAGAGCCACGCGGGCCTACCAGACACACAGAGAAGCATACGACAAGAAGAACAGCACACCCGCTGCCTCTACATCTAAGCCTAATAAGACTACGCTAGCTTAGTATAAAGTAGGTAATAGAAAGAGTTCTCTAGTATCTAAGACAGCGCCTACCGCCTCTATATCTAAGCCTAATAAGACTACGCTAGCTTAGTATAAAGTAGGTAATAGAAAGAGTTCTCTAGCATCTAAGACAGCGCCTGCTACCTCTACGTCTAAGCCTAATAAGACTACACTAGCTTAGTATAAAGTAGGTAATAAAAAGAGTTCTCTAGTATCTAAGATAGCGTTTACTACCTCTACGTCTAAGCCTAATAAGACTACGCTAGCTTAGCATAAAGCAGGTAACAGAAAGAGTCCTCTAGCATCTAAGACACCGCCCGCCTCTGCGCCGAAGCCTGGCGAGACTCTGCCAATCGAGCATAAAGCCGGCGACGGACAGCAACCCCCAGCACAATTCTAGCAAGAAAGTCGCCGATCATCACCACCGCAGCGCCCATACCAACGGCAGCTAATACCTCGACCGCAGTGCCTACTCTTACAGCAGCATCAAATGCCACAGCCATCCCCGTCACAGCCGCCATACCCATCACAGCCGCCATCCCCATCACAACCGCGACACCTATCACAACCGCGACGCCCACTCCTACAGCGCCTATACCAACCGCAGCTAATACCTCAACCACAGCGCCTACTCTTACAGCAGCATTAGATGCCACAGCCATCCCCATCACATCCGCGACGCCTACTCCTACAGCAGCATTAGATGCCACAGCCACCCCCATCACAGCTGCCACCCCCATTACATCTGCGACGCCCATCACATCCGCAACGCCTACTCCTACCGCAGCATGTACTGCTACTGCCACCCCTATCACAGCCGCCACCCCTATTACAACCGCGATGTCCGTCGCAACCGCGACGCCCGCTCCCACGGCAGCATCTACTGCCGCTGCCACCCCCATTGGAACACTCGGCATACAGGACGACTGGTCTCCTCCTCCGGACAACGACGACCACGAAGATTATGGCGTCGCCATCCCGTTCAGTCAGAGTAGCGCGCAGCCCCCAGAGCCTGAGTCCCGGAAAAGGGTTAAGCTGACCGTCGACCTCTCGCAGCCACCAAGCAAGTCGGACATTGAGGCAATGCAGCTTACCAAGGCAACAGATTTGGACCGCGCATCCGATTACATCCTGAAGCTGACCCTCCGAATGGACACGTGCCCACGGGTGGGGATGCTCCGTGACGTCGTTCACATGGCGGTGCAGCAATATCCAGAGTCCGACGGTGCCATACCGCTGCGTCTTCTTCCGCTCGGACCGTGGCCAATCAGCCTCGCCTCTATGCTCGAGGTGTGCAAAGCCAAGATGTGGCTGTCCGGCACGACTATCGACTTCCTTGTCGAGAGATGTGGCAATTCACGGGGGTACTCACCGGAGGTCGTGCATGTCGCTACAAGCCGTCCAGTATACATGGCAACCATCGGCACGTCATCATCTAACCCCGAGATACGCCCCGACATCGCGTCACTTATTCCGCAATCAGTCTTCATCCTCCCTGAGCTCGACGCCGCAGCATTCATCGTCTTCACTTGGAATCCGACGAACAGCCATTGGGTAGTGGTGCAGGCCCTATGCATGGAATTTGGGGCGGGGCTCATGCGCGTGTACGACACAGGACGTAGATACCGATCTACGTCTATGTTCGAGCAGGAGCTCCGGCAATTCGTTGCGCTGGTGGCGCTCTCTCACCCCCGGTCCAGATTAGCGAACGTCGATTGGAACACGGTCGCCGTTAGATACGAGGAAACAGTGCAGCAAGAGGCAGATGACTGCGGGGTCTTCACAGCGTGGAACGTGAGGACATTACTTCACAATGACCAGCCCGCGAAGTCGGCCTCCAACGCCTTGAGCGTTGGCATGACACTCCGACGGGAGCTGTTCACCGGAGCACACAGCACTATCAGCGGCCGTGATCCCCCTTATTGCTCGAGCCAGGCTGCGCTCGATGCGCACATCGAGCATCTATCTGGCGACATGCGCAACCCCACTGGCCTTAGCCCGACTAGCAACCACCACAACGATGACAAGAAACCAGGGTACGACGGATTACCGCTTACATCCAGCGAATCAGTAGCCACACCAACGAAGAACATTCATTCAATAATGTCTTCCAAACGCCCGTTCACCGACCGTGCTTTCTCCTCCCACAAACGTTCACGATCTGAGAACACTGCACACAGTGCGCCCTCTTTCTTAATAGAGACTGCACGTCTCTCTCTACATTTATCTTTTGCTTCTGCAGGAGATATACCGATCATGGAGCCAAAGATTGATACAATATGCGCCTGGCGACTCGGTTGGCCCAGGCTGCGAAGCCTGCCACTGCAAAGTCTGCCAACGACCACCAAACACTTGGTCGCCCACCAACCCGCGATCAACAAAATCTTAGATACTCATAGCGTAAGCACTCTCGGTCCTGTTCGATACGTCGCGCGGACAAGGCCTACAGAACTGGCCACCTCCCACCCAACGATCGTATTCTATACGGATCTCGGAGAGCCGCGCCAGTACGAGCACTGCGCCTCTGCAGTCCAAGAAATCGCTCAGTATATCCTATCCAACAACATAGACGCTTCGATCGAAGCTATCGACCGAGTGGTCGGCGAGAGCTTCACAGTCACAGCATTACAAGGACCGACGGCGGCAGAGATAGCGCGTTATTGGGCGAGCAAGAGACGAACCCTTCTCCGTACGATCGCGAATAGGAAGTGGCTGAGCCTTGACTGTGTTAACCTTGGAAAATCCACCGACGGTCTAAAACCCACTATCGTCATCACGGCATCAGACGCAGACGCAGATGTGTGGGACCAGATTATAGCGAGAATCAGCGTTCTCTTTGACTACAAGCTGGAGGTAGAGCTCCTGTACGGACCGCGCAGTAGGATCGATCTGGCGGATGCTGTGGGAGATACCGAAGAGGCGGAGATGTCGGATATTTCAACCGAAGTAGAGGAAGAGGCGGACTTCGCAAGCAAGGAACTGAAGAAACCCAAGGGTATCGCGAATGAGTCGGAAGACGAAGAATTCTGCCGTCCCTCGCATTTCTCTACCGACATCTACCCTGGTACATCTGTAGGAGTGAAGGGAGGCCCATCAGGAAGCGTCGGTGGATTCCTGAAGATCGAATTCCCTGGACTGCCTACTCCCGCCACCCAAGTCGGTCTAACTAACTTCCACGTACTATGGGGAGGTGACGAGAAGCCAGTGCAACCGCCTCATCTGAGGGAAGCTTCTTGCGGTTCGGTCACCGTAGTAGTACCATCAGATCGCGACAAGACCCGGTACGTCCGAAGACGCAAACTCATAATCAACAAACACAACAGATATCTCCGCGACGCAAGTTCGAAGCATCAAGCTGTAGAATCCGAGAGCCATCGGTCCAAAAGGCAGCAATGGCGAGAAGAAAGAGAAGAAGAGCGCAAAGAGCGTAAGCGGGTGGAAGAGGCATCCAGCGTTGCAGGAACAACATGGGCAAGCTCAGCAAAAACCTCTCGTCCTCATCCCAGGTACACAGCGAAGCAGCATGAGAATTGGACGGAACAAAGCCGCAGTACCAACGATACAACCGAGGGCCCAGCCCTGGAGTGGGACATTGACTGGTCGCTATTCTCGATAGACGCACCTCGCTTGGCGGTATCAAAGACTCCGCGTTCAACTGATCACCGGCACTCTGCATCAGATTCGGAGATATCCGAATGGGGTTCGATACAAGAAGATAGAAGCTATGAGGTCGTCAAGATCGGTAGGACTTCAGGGTCGCTGAGCGCATATCTCACTCTCCTAAGATTCGACATCATCTTACGCAGCATGACCTCGACGAGCAGGACATCATTGTCCGTAGCGAAGCCGTCGCCATTCTCGAACACAAGACGCAGAACCTTCCATACCAATCCGTACCAGATTTCAGTGGTCGCAAACAAGAAGCTTTCATGCGAGGTTTTGCCAGGCGCTACCTTCCTACGATCCGCAATGCAGCCTTCCAAGTAATGCGTTATAAGCTTGGCACTATGCTGCGCAATAGGAAAACGCTGAGCAAGAGGACAATGAAATTCCCCCGTGCGAACGTTCGCCATCCCGGTTCATTTGTTAATGGGAAATTCATCAAGGCCAATACGCGCATTATCCCTACATGCATCGAAGCGTACGCCCTCGAAGGCAGCACTACCATCCGCGCCACCGCGGCTCGTGCTATCTTTGGCACAGATCTCCATGTTTGCGCTTCACCGCCTGACCCGACACGCACGTACGATATGGTACTTCCGTGCTTCCGTCGCTCGGGCAGGCCACGGGACGGTATCAGCTCCGACACCGAAGTCTTCCACAACGAATCGGAAGACGTCGATTTACGCCTACAAGCGATGTATGATCAATGGGAACAAGTCTTCAACAACTACCCAAGACCCCACGACAAGATTGACACACAAGGAGCGCTAGCAATGCAAAGCTTTAGGCCGGTCTGGATCCCACTGGTATTAGGGTACATCACATCGACATTCCCAGTTCTCAATTCAGCTGGACATTCTGCGCGAGTGGCAAGCGTTTACGACACAATGCGAAGGGTCATTGACCATGTTCAGGCTCTGGCGGGTCGGCGCATCCGTGTCTTATTCCTCTTTCCAGGCGTGGACGGACTGACAACCAACAATGAGTCCTGGCAATACCTAGTCGACCGCTTTCCAGAAGTTTTGTTCTCTTAAGCCGCTATCGTGTCCCCGCAACTCGGAGTGCTCTACCCATCGGTATTTACCAAGATCGGGCGTTATGCTTGGACGCACATTGACGTCGAGGAACTCTACTCTTGTCACAGCCAGATGCTTCGCGGGTTCGACACCACTACACTCTTCCTTCAGTCTCCAAAGCACAGTCGCTTTATCTCTTGGCTTACTGCTCTTCACGAATCTTCGTCTAACAACAGCGATTCTCGTCTACTTCAACGTCTTCGCTCTGCAAATAGCCTCTCTAAGTGATGTAGATTGTAGTATATATATTCCTTCTTAGTTTCACTAAATACCATTTCTCTACTTCTTAAGATTACCTGGTAGAATATGCCGCACGCCTTAGACAAGAAAAAAGCTGAGTAGGTCTGGGGGCTACATCAACATGAAAACACGCAAAGTAGGTGATTTACCGTTGATGTAGGCTCTAGGACTAGTAGACTTTTCTTAGGTTGACATGCATATGTGATGAATACACAGGCGCCTTTTTAGCTTATACTAAACAGGTCTGCAGACTACATTAGGACAAAATCATGCAAGGTGAGTGACTTGACATCAATGTAGGCTCCAGGGTGTTCAGGATTTTCATAGCCTGACGTGATTTCGCCGTTTGCCACCGAGGAGAGGGACTATACCTACTCCCAGCACTACCGGTTTCGTCATTTCAGATCTACCGATCAAAATCGGATTTGTTGCAACCTATCTCGCATAAGATAAAACTCGGACAGGCCTGCAGCCTACATTAAGGTAAGAATATCCAAAGCAGGCGACCTGAAGGCAACGTGGGCTCCAGAGTGTTCAGGTTCTTCCTGTATGCCCCCAATTTGGCCCGCCTCGTTCGATGTGTTGTACCGATAATATGAAGACGTCCATCGAGCACGCACACTGGACTGTCCATGATCTATGTGGAGGTGTAAAGTAAAAATGTAAAGGGACTGTCTCGATTGTATTTTTCCATACCGATACGAAATCAAAATTTGGTTTATCTCCGCGGATCACACTTGAGCGAATAGCAAGCAATAGACTGGGCCTCATACTTGCACAGATAGCAAGAGGACGAGGAGAGCCGAGAGCCGTTTGAAAGATAGATACATCTACAACAAGACCTAGTAAGCAGCGCGTAAGTTGAGACATCAATACTCGAGCGCAGAGTGAAGGAGATAGGTGGGAGTCGATCTTCCCAATGGTTGTGTATTGCATGATGGGACCAATGACAAAAAGGGTATAGCGTAGTCGACGATAGCCCAGAATGTGGGGGGCAGCGTGTCACATGCCATACCTGTGTCTCTGTTTGAGGCCATGTGAAGCGTATTGGAGGTGTCGGCTGAGCCTAGGTGGTCTAGAGGGGTGTCATCCGTACGCTGGTATCGTAGTGAGGCTGGCGGGGGTGCTGTCGTCGTGGTGGCGAAGAGGGACTGGGGGCAACGAAGTACCTGTCGCTGTGGCTAGGGACATGATGGTGCAAGTGATGCGAAAGCGTACTGTGCATAGCAAGCTCTAACTACTCCGGAGCAGATGCCTCGCGTCGGCAGGACTGTGATAACGTAGTGGTTGCGATGGCGGGCTGGGAGTGGGGAAACTTGCATGGCGTGTCGCGATACGCTGATTGGCTGAGCGGGTGGCTGGCTCAGTCGTGCCTTCCTTTCCTAAATAGCGCTCCTGCCATGTGACCATCTCTGCTCCTTCCTCGTGATTCAACTCAGAAGTTGGTCGTTCGATCCTGCCTGAAGAAAAGCCCAAAGTCTGCAATTTCAAGAAAGGTAAGAGCTTTTTGTTCTCTTTTCTCTCTTTCTCAGTGTGCATCCAGCCTGTCAAGCGTCGCCGGCCGAACAAGTTGCTACACCTTCGTCCGTCACCTGATTTCGCGCGCATCCACATCCATTTGGAACATCGTCGCAGTACCATCGGTAAGTGACCATGGCTCTTTTCGCGCGACCGCCGGAAAGCCCTGCATAGACATGCCACCCTGCGCTCCTGCACGGGCTGTCGTTTGAGAAGCGCACCTGGCGTCATGGTGGCCTCGCGCCTGCCCGCTCGCTTTCCGCGGTGTTGTCGGTCGGCATCCCGCACTCGATGGACGCGCATCCACCACGACGCACGACGCCATTGTGCGCTTCCTACCGCTCGCACGATACGACGGCGTTCTTTTGAGTCGTGACAGTTGCGTCTCACAACAACGGCCAAATGGAAGCGCCCAATCCTTCTGCTTGCTGGCGCTGTGTCGCACCACCTTGACCTACTCACCTGCTCGCGCCCGTGCTAATGTTTGTCGAACGCAGGCCTCTATTGCGCTTCCCAAGCGCACGATTGCTACATCAAGTCGTCTTCGGCTTGTGCGTGAACCGGTGGGCACAGCGCCGCTGCTCCCCCGCCCCGGTGCGTTGCGCCTGCGACTCACGCTTCGAGCGCGTCTTTCTGCCACTTTCACCAGCCTTCCCACACGTCACCCGCCTAACTCACTCACTCACGGCTACTTCCTGGTCGCCCAAAGGAGCACTGTGTCCTAGCCAGACTTCAGCGCCCTCACTCACCATTGGTCCTGTACATCCCAGACCTCGCCGTCTCAGCAACCACGCGCAGAACCTCGACGTCGATCCTAGCGTCCCACGCGGATTCCAGCTGCTTCTACTCATCCCTTCCAGATACCCCACCAGAAACCATGGCTGATACCGCCGGATACCCTACCGACGGCAAGCTGGATGCCCACAACGTCCACACCAACAAACGGAAGCGCGACACGCGCGACCAAGGCCTGAACCGACCTGCTCCCCATTCCGCCAACAACGACCTCACCGACCAAGCCACTGCCTCATTTCTCGCCGCGCACAACGCCGCCGACGACGACATGCAGCAACAGTTCGACGTACACCACAACGGTGGGACCAACACCGCGAGTGTCGGCGACACTGCCGCCGCCGCACTTGCCTATCACCAGATGACGGTCCCCCAGGCGACGGAACTCCAGTTCCAGCCACAGAACTCAGGCGACGGCTCCTTCAGCATGGGAGACCACGGCCAACAACAAACGGGCATGCAAGACTTTAGTCTCGAGGCTTTGAAGGCAGCTACACAGACGGGTCGTCCCGGTCAAACAGCACCCAGCGACTCGCCACCGCAAAGCTCTGCGCACAAACCTCAAGTCGGCACAGATGAGTGGCACAAGGTCCGGAGAGACAATCACAAAGAAGGTAGGCGTCCGTGCGAGCCCTCCCCGATACAGTTACTAACAGCTGCATAGTCGAACGCCGCCGTCGCGAGACTATCAACGAGGGAATCAACGAACTAGCCAAGATCGTCCCCGGCTGCGAGAAGAACAAGGGCTCCATCTTGCAACGGGCCGTTCAGTTCATTACCCAGCTGAAGGAGAACGAGCAGCAAAACATCGAGAAGTGGACGCTTGAAAAGCTACTCACCGAGCAAGCCATCACCGAGCTCAGCGCTAGTTGCGACAAGTTCAAGGCCGAATGCCAACGGGCGTGGGACGAGTGCAATATCTACAAGCGCACATGCGAAGCCAACGGCATCATACCCGACGAGATCAAAGAGCGCCAGGAGAACGGCGAACAGACGGGAGCTAATCCCATGTAGAACTGGGAGGAAGCCTCGCTTTTCGACTATCTCTTCGACGCGATAGCAACCTTGCCTTGATAGCCATGTTCGGAAGACACATATCTGGTCTTCTTTTCTCGACCTGTCGGTCTACTGTTCATTCCCCGCACTGGCAGTGCGGCAGATTATGTTATGTTCGGCGTACAGCTGTGGAGATATCGCTCGCTCTTTAGGGACGGGGTTTTCTTATTCGTTTGCATCTGGCGGCAGCGATCGCGGTGCGCCTGGGTTGGCCTCTCCCATACAGACAACCGGGGCTTCTCTTACGCCTTCTGAGGGCTAGCGACACATTTTACAGCAAGGGGGCGTTCTGCAATGGTACATCAATTTCGGTACGCAATACCCATCGCTAGTTGTGTTATGAGTAATATGAGACTGTTTTGTTGGGATGACTTGCAACATACGGGCATTAGAAACAAGTGAATGTTTAGCAGGAGTCGCGCTAATCGGAGCCCTGCTTACCCATCCGTTAGCGGTGGGCGCATCCCACCTGCCGTGCATACACAGCGCAACTCACCTTCTTGAACCGTGAAGACACTTGCCTCGCCGCTCTCCCAAACTGATCCGTCCGAAAACCATGATCCGCACGTGAAAGGAGTCCCAGACATGGTGGGCGTAGCACGTTTCCACCGACCTGACAACCCCACACCCACATAATTCACGCGACCGACCATGGCCGACAGCGACGTGCCCGGAGAGCCACTCGTGCCTCCCATACTGGATGCAGCTGAGCTGATCGGGAACTCGAGCGCTGATTTCCCCGTCATTGAGGCAGAGCCCGAGGAAGAGCTCAATCTGCCCCTCGATACCGCCGAGCAGCAGCGCATACTGCTGCAACAGGACCAGGACCAGCCCCAAGCCGGGCCTCCCCTCACCCTGCCAGCCCGCCCCGGCCTGCAACGAGGCAATTCAGTTCCTACGCCCGCGCCGAACCTGCCCCCGCCCGCACCGCCTGTACCGCCGCCCGACACGCCACAGAACGACTCGCTTTCGCTTGCGCAACTGCAGAACCTCGTGAGGGGCATACCCAAGGTCGAGCCCGCCCCATACGCTTTCACATACGATGACGCATCATGTTTCGAGGAGGAGCTGGAGGAGTGGTTCTCGTATGCCGTCGAGGAGCAGGCAATGCTGCTCAAGACCCAGGCGTCCTACGCATTGGAGTGGAGCGCATTTCATGGCCTAAACGACGTGTCCAATGGCGAGGACGGCTTGGACTGGGCCTCGGCGACGACGACACAAC